AAATACTACTGGTGCCTAATATGTTCTAAGCATTAAAGAGAAAGTAGCAAAAGAAATAATTAAAAGAGACGTAATTCCTGTTCTCAGAGAACTTACAGATTAAACATTAAAACACGTAAGAGCTAGGTTGAGAGGCTGAGGTGGAAGGATCACTTGACCTTAGGGGTTTGAAGTTGCAGTGAGCTATGATCATGCCACTGTACTGCAGCCTCCAGCCTGGGAGACAAAGTGAGACACCCCAAAAAACAAAACAAATAAACACACAAATATATATACACACAGAGAGCAGTAAGCCCTTTGAAGAAAAAAAAAACTGCAGTATTATAATTAAATTACTCAACAAAGGAACCAAATTGAGAAAGGTAGAAAGTCAAACCTCACTTATGTTAATTAGCCTGATTTGATCATCCTGCAATGTATTCATGTACTGAAACATCCATCTGGGCTCAGTGCCCATAGCTCAGTGCTTAGGGCACCAGCCACATACACCAGGGCTGGTGGGTTCGAACCCAGCTCAGGCCTGCTGCTAAACAACAACGACAACTACAACAACAACAAAAAATAGCTGGGTGTTGTGGTGGGCGCCGTTAGTCCCAGCTACTTGGGAGGCTGAGGCAAGAGAATAGCTTAAGCCCAAGAGTTTGAGGCTACTGTAAGCTGTAATACCACTGCACTCTACCAAGGGCAACATAGTGACACTCTGTGTCAAAAAGAAAGAAACATCCATCTGTACACCATAAATATATATAATTATTGTCAATTAAAAATAAAATTTAGCCATGCAAGGTGGCTCATACCTGTAATCCTAGCCAAGGCCTCCTCTGGGAGGCCAAGGCAGGTGGACTGCCTGAGCTCACAGGTTCAAGACCAGCCTGTGCCAAAGCAAGGCCTTGTCTTTATTTTTTTTATTTATTTTTTTATTTTTTTGAGACAGGGCCTCAAGCTGTCCCCCGGGTAGAGTTCCGTGGCATCACAGCCCCCAGCAACCTCTAACTCCTGGGTTCAAGCGAGTCTTCTGCCTCAGCCTCCCAAGTAGCTGGGTGCCCACAGGTGCCCACCACAATGCTCGGCTATTTTTTGGTTGCATCCGTCATTATTGTTTGGCGGACCTGAGCTGGATTTGAATCCGCCACCTTAGGTGTATGTGGCTGGCACCTTAGCCACTTGAGCCACAGGCACTGAACCAAAACCTTGTCTTTAAAAGTACTGGTTGTTGTGGTGGGCACCTGTAGTCCCAGCTACTTGGGAGGCTGAGGCAAGAGAATCACCTGAGCCCAAGAGTTTCAGGTTACTGTGAGCTACAATGCCATGGCACTCTACTGAGGACATTGGAGTCAACTGTCTCAAAAATAAATAATTAAATAAACAAATAAAAATAAATAAATGAATAAAATTATTTTAAAAAAGGAAAGTCACATTGAGAAAAAGACTTTTAGGCTGAGACCTGAAGTTGAACAAGAAGGAGTTAACCAGGCAAAAAGAGGAAAGAAAAGCATTCCGGACATAGAAAAATAGCACATGCAAAGGCCTCAAGGCAAGAAAGCATCTGGTGTGTATAAGATACACAAAGATCTCCTGTGTTGCTAAAGCATATTGAGAATGTGAAAGGGCAGGGGATGCGGCTGGGAGGCAAGGGCAGGTCACACAGGGTTTGTAGGCCACACAAAGGATTTTGAATTTAATGCTAGGTACTATGGATCGTCAGCTGATCCAATTCACTTTTTTGGAAAGTGAATTTTTTTGAAAGAGTGCTCTACAGTGTAGAGAATAAACTGGTAGGGGCTGAGAAAGGAGGCAGCATTAGTGAGAGAGAATGCTGGCTGGGCCCCATGAGGTGGCACTGGATATAAAGAAAAGTGAATAGATTTGAGATAAATTCCAGAAACAGAATTAATAGGTGGATGATGAGGGGAAAGGAAAGAAGGAAGAAGTCAAGAATGGTTCCCAGGGTTTTGGCAGCTGTCTCAGTGGAAGTAATGTTTACTCAGATGGGGAATTCTGAAGAAGGAGAAAATCTGGAGTCAGAAGGATCATGAGTTCATGATCCTAACTATGTTAACAAAAATGGTTTCCATTTGGGCACTCTGGGAGGCCAAGGCAGGTGGACTGCTTAAGCTCAGGAATTCCAAACCAGCCCAAGCAAGAATGAGATCCCATCTCTACTAAAAATAGAGAGACTAGCCAGGCGTTGTGCTGGGCCTGTAGTCCCAGCTACTTACAAGGCTGAGACAAGAGGATTGCTCAAGCCCAAGAGTTTAAGGCTGCTGTGAGCTATGATGCCATTGCACCCTACCTGGGATAACAGAGTAAGACTCTGTTTTAATAAAATTAAAACAAAAAACCCCCAAACTTCCATTTGGTGGTAATAGCGATTAGATATATACATCTAGAGCTTAGAAAAGACATCTGAGCCAGTCATACAAATTTAGGTCTTATCTGCCCACTGATGGTATTAAAGCCACAGGAGTAGATAGTATCTACAGAGTGTGTTGGGTGAGAAGATGCCCAGAACTCAGGCCTGGAGACTTTGATGTCTAAATAGAGGTGATAAGACATTATGACAAGGAAGAGACAAAGAGACAGAAGGAAAACCATGTGACTACCAGAGAAGCCAAGGGAAGAAAAAATTAGGAAGGAAGAAGAGGTGAGAGGTCACGGAATATAAAGACTAAGAAACACCCCCTCAATTTAGCAACACAGAAGTCTTTGGTAATCTTGGCAATCCTCTTACACGATAAATTTAATTAACTCATCCATACTCCTTT